GTGCAGCATTAGGACCGTGATATATATATATATATCTTGCGCTGTCTTTTTTATTTTATAATCGTCGTTGGATAGCCGACCCGATTATGGGTTTACGACTACCGATATTTAACTCCGTAGTCTTGCAGTTTTGAACCCAATCCCGGAGTCAAGGCAACTCCGGTATCAAGAATTGGGAGAATTTGCTTTCGTGGAGGAATTTTTCAGTGAAGGGACCCGCATTTGCCTTACATGGAGACGAAAACCTCCCACGATTAGCATGACGGCAGAGGGACTCTTAACTCATGATCCGTCTACCACTAAGGAAACTTTTACGTCAGCAATCTGGTCGGTGCGAGCCTAGTGCGGAATTCGAATTGACCTGCCTATGTTGTGATTCGAACCCGGTCCACCTTATTGGAAGGCCAATGCTTTATCCCCTAAATCAGTGCTGTTTTTTTTTTTGTTGATAGAAATGATTAAGATTTCAACTTTATTTTTGAAAACACAAAATTCTTGATTTTAATTTGTATTTTTTTTTTCTGCACTTCAAATTTTATGTACTATAATTTGATTTTCATGTTTTATGTACAAAACATTTGTCTTTATTTGAATAATTTTGCATTTAAGCGACCCGATCAAATAACCATTTGAAATTTTTTAAATATATCTTATTTTCTAAATAGGAATTTCTCAGTAGACATGACAATATTATTGCCCTCTTTCCCATTTCATCGTCATGATAAAACAAAAAGGTTTTCGAATCACCTGAACTGCGCAATTTTAAAAAAATAAAAAATTTTAATTTACAAAAAAAAATAAATAAATTATATCATCAGCGTGAAGCCTCTTTAGCCCTGGGCAGATGTTCACTTTTCCCACCCTTGATAGATCTGAATATTAAAAGTAAATTTATAGATCAGTGGTACTACATTTGAAAGAAAACCAATCGATTATTTCTTTTCTAAGTTGAAAAAATAACGGTACGATGCCTGTAAATAATTTCAAATACGAATAGGTTAAATAATTTCAAATACGAACTCTTGTTTAACACGTTCAAAACCGGGTGTTCAGGCCTGAAAGCGGGACGGAAAAGAGAAAATACTGGTAGAAGAACTATTTCAATATTAGATAATATTCGGGAGGAGTTAATCTATTCTCAACAATAACAACTCACTGTAAGGAAATTTATCACAGCGAAGAAGCAATTCAATATAAAAATTGCATCCGTTAAAAACAATTGGTAGTTATGGATTTTTATTATTCCCGGAAAAAAACTAAAAAATGAAATTTATTTGTTACCAGGTTTTTACTCCAGTGCGCCGCCCGATGAGACAACCGGCGTGAATGTGTTAATAAAGATGTGAGCGATATCTGATCAACTTTTTCCGTTGAGATTTTTATTTTTTTGTTCCTCCCATTTATATTTGAATATATTTAAATCAAAATTCAGGAAAACGATGAAGGCTAAGTATAAGTTGCACATTGTTGGAAAATGGGGTTGCTAGAGGAGAGAAAGGTAGGCGTTATTTGATTGCGGTTGGGAGCGTTAAATGATGCCTGACTTAGAGAGGTGCATCCCGATATCGCTTTTTTGAACTCCGTTAGTTTCGTAATTGTGGCATATTCAGGGATGCCAACTTGCTCCGCTTTTTAAAATAGTATTCTCTAGTGGTAACGAAATCTAAGTTAATTTTAGTTTAGTATTTTTCACTTTAAGTAATTTTTTCACCACTAAATGTCAAAAATTATAAGTATCATATGAAATGCAACATCATTCTTCTGGATACTCTATTAAAAAGTGGGCGTAACTATCCTTCTCTAACGAATTTTACTGTATAATTCGCTACCACTATATTAAAACTATTCCTGAAAGCGGAGCAGTTGACCCCCCACCCTGAGATATACCTAAACAATGAATTAAATTTGAATCTCACACAGCTAAAGGTTGAGGAGAACTAGCCTTTCACTATCAGAGCGAAGAGATGAAGAACAAGAAATATACTATTCACTCCCTCTTACGCTCTTTGGATTTAGGTTGCTGTCGCTCTCGTGAATAACATAAATTTTAAATTATATTTTTTAACATTTGTTTTAAATTAATAGCTGGTATATAATTTTGTGTACTTCTTTATTTAAAATGTGAAAAAAATCTACTAGGATGAGTAAAAAGTAACGCCTACTTACTCATCGTATATTGAAAGTAAATATTGCGTCGCAGTTGCTACTTTTAACCTGGGTCAGCGGAATAGGTTGTAATGCGAGGTCGTTGTGCCAAATATTTTCACAAATTTTGTCAGGCCCACGCATACTTACAAACCTTCAGATTCTCACATTTATTTATTTATTATATTTTTTTAAAGAAGCACAGATGAAATTAGTAAGTGCAATATGTTTATTTGATTTTTTGATGGGAAATACCCGAAATACCCTTATTGTTATTGAAGCGTCTATTTGTCAATCACTTGTCTTGGTGCTCTAATTTCCGAATACATACAGGGCAGTTTCCTACAAAATCGAGAGATACAAATTAGCTATCATCCATTGAGGAAATTTGCGAACACAGTATTTTTCAAACTGTTAACACGTTATGAATATATAGTTGAAAGAATCATAAGCTAAACTTGATCTGAGAGCAAAATTAAAAAGAAAAAACATTCGCTATCTTAATGTAATAAGATATGAATTACTGTTCTCCGGCTATTGAATTTCTTTACCGCTATCTAATGCCTTGCCCTCGCGATTTCCCGAATTATTGTTGTGGTTAACGGATTGCAAAAGGTTGAAGATCATTATATTAAATTTAAAAATATGCTTAGTTGTTGATATTATACACTAATCATACTTAATTTCTAAACTGCCATCGTAAATTTCTTTTGCACTACGTCAAGTTTATATATATGGTTAAATTAATGATCATGGTTTATATATATGGTTAAATTAATGATCATGGTTTATATATATGGTTAATAGTTGTAGTTTAAATAAATGGTTAATAGTAACAGTTTTTACAGTCATAGTTTATATTTAGTCATAGTTTTTATAGTCATATTTTATATATTGTCATAGTTTATATATTAGGTTAAATTGATTAGGAATATACATAATGAAGACCATATATAAACTATGACTCTGATTTAAAGAGGAGACGCAAGCTCGTTCGGTATCCCCCAGCCGAGAGCCCTGCGAAGTCCCTACACCATATACCATAGTCATAGTTTATATGTATGGTTAAATTGATTAGGTATAATGGTGAGTAAGAACATTTTGAACCAATTTATTAAAATTAAATTGAAATGAGTCATAGTTTATTTCTAGTCATAGTTAATATATATTATTAAATTGATTAGGTATGATGGTGAGTTAGAACATTTTAAATCAAATTTATTAAAATACAAAATAAATTATAAATGTATCAATTTTGCTAACAATTGAAGTATGAAAGTATATTTTTCTTGGAATCTAGCAAAAACTGACAACTATGTTATGTACAACTTATACTTAATAGTTTAATTACCAACAAAACATTTCAGGGCGGCTTTTGATGTTCCTTTATTGTAATAAAGTAATGTGTAAGAGTAATTGTGGGTACTAATTCATGATTCTGTCAAATTAAGAATTTCATTCGACAAAAATGGAAAATTTTCCCTTCCAAAAATAATCGTGTTCGAAAAATCAATACAATCAATAAATAATCAATCCGTTCGTGGCTTCCTTGTGTTTCACGTTTTTACTTAAAGTGCAGCGAAAACTTGACCAAACCTAGACAAAGAGATTCAAAATAACAAGATGAGATCTATAGTTTGTCTAAGGTAAGAACTCCCCTAGCCATTCGTCTGGACCCGTATCGGTCACTATGGTAACGAGGTATAAGTATTTCAAGTAGGGGTGTGGTGTCACTGTTTAGGACAGGTTTTTGGATCGAATGGGTGAAAGAAAGGGAACCTTTTTCTTCGGTCTACTGTATTAGCCCTAGAGTGAAGAGAAGTTAAACATCCGTTATATGCTCTATTCTTGTTTCCATAGCAGCAGACGGCCTCAGACTGTGTGGCGGGGGGAGTTTATACCGTAGACAAACTATAGTGAGATTTGTTTATGGTGTCTTACTACACATGAAAATTAGTCAGATGAATATCCGGTTGCTAGTTTTCTTCCGTTTTGGATAACGAAAATCCGTATTTTTTTTTAAGATTAAAGAAAACAGCTACTACAGGCAAACTATTAGGCTTGAAACATTAATCTTTTTTATTAAAATGTGCACAAAGTTTTTTTCCTTTAAGAAAGTAATAAAATGTGTAAGTAAAAATGTAATAATCTGGTTTTATAATACATTTTTAGTTTATATTTAGAAGAAAGACTGTTGTTTATTTTTACTTTTTTGGGGAGCATAAAAATATTAGTGTTGAAATAAAGCTTATTATTTGCAAACCAGTAGCCGTGAGATTTGGTTTTGGGCATTTCATATAATTAAAATTAAAAAGTTCTGTAGTTGCTACTTCCAAAAAAGAGTCAGCCATATTGGATTTTACCATAATCAACAAACATTTCTACAACAAGTGAACTATTAAGTTTCAAAAACGTCTATCTTTTCATTAAAATGTGAGCAAAATTATGTTTTTTAAATGAATAATAAAAAGTTTTGGTATGTTACTTTTAAGGAAAGTATTACAGAAAAGCTCACAGATGTTAGCTCCTCACCATGTCAGAATATCTTTACTTTGTGAGTTCACTGCTTAGACATTAGTTTCAAATTACCTACCAAGAGCTTGAAGCATCCATGCCGCAGCTGCTTTTTAGGCGAAAGGTAGCGAAACGTGTTATTGAACAGATGCTCATAATGTTTTGGCTCTTCAGTGTATATGCCTCCACTACTGTCTGTAGATTTGAATATTGACGTGATACATCTGAGGTATACTGTTAAATCAAATATACTACTGACTTGCTACCTTGCTATGGCTCATAAATAGATTTGCGTTATACGTAGTCATGAATACCGACGTGCTACACCTTAGGTATACTGTAAAATTAAACATATTACAGACTTTCTGCCTTGCTGCAGCTAAATAGATTTTCTGTAGATGTTAGTATGCACTAGAGCCTCCGAATTAGACAGGCCGACTTATCATTTATTGTTGGAGCAAAGAGCTAACATAAGCACAGTGAATAAATATTTTCAAGTGGTAGTTTATTAATTGTAATTCTTGGTTTAATAAGTTTGATTTAGTAGATTTTAATCCACCACTATTTCTAAACAATGCGTAGGCTTATATAATTCACCACTTTATAGCACTTATGACATGCTTTACATTTTTAAAAGCAAGCAAATATTGTCAACTATTTGCAAAATTTACTTTGTAGTAATTTACCGTTTTTTAAATTATTTTAGTGTGTCCAGAGCAGTTTTAAAAGCAAGCAAATATTGTCAACTATTTGCAAAATTTACTTCGTAGTTATTTACCGTTTTTGAAATTATTTTAGTGTGTCCAGAGCAGTTAACATCTCTGTAATAACATAACTAATACTAACATAACGTTAACTTGCGAACTTGTTTGCTCCAATATTGCTTGATAAGTCAGCTCTGATAGTATAGTAGCCTTAGTATACACAACATAATTACTGACGTGCTACATCATAGATATACTGTTAAATCAGACATACTACTGACTTTCTGCCTTGCTATGGCTAATAAATAGATTTGCTTTATATGTAGTCATGCACTATATGAATACCGACGTGCTACATCATAGATATACTGTTGAATCAGACATACTACTGATTTTCTGTCTTACTACAGCTAAATAAATTTGCTGTACATATAACTTCTGACATTATAAGTAATGTACAATCAAACATACTATTGACTTTCTGCTTTTCTACAGCTGTTAAATAGATTTGCTGTGAAGATAGGTATGTATAATATTAATATTACATCAAAGGTACACTGTTAAATCAAACAAACTACTGACTTTCAGCCTTGCTACAGCTAAATAGAGTTGCTGTAGTATGCACGATATAACTTCTGACGAGCTACATCATAGGTATGACGTACAATCAAACATACTATTGACTTTCTGCCTTGCTACATCTGTTTAAAATATATTTGCTATAGATGTAGGTATGCATGATATGAATGTTGACGTGCTACATCAGAGGTTCCAGCAATTTCAAATTTCGTCCCGCTCCATACTTCCTGCTCCAAAGTCATCGTGACAACTTTATCACGCCCCTTGAAGACCTCGATAATCCAGTACGATGTCTGGCATAACTTCATGCGACTCTGTACATCTTATGTCGTTGACATTATGACATTAGACAACTATGCAAGACAAGATTCTCTTCTTCCAGTGAGTACGCATGCGCGTTTTATTTGAAGGGAAAGTCCCTTTGCTCTGAAGCAGGGTAGGTATATAACTAAGTGGTATTAAAAGCGGCATTTTTCTGTTCCGTTCCATGACGTCTATGAAACAGCATTAGCACTATTAAAGTTCAAAATCTCACATAAGTATAAAAATTGTACTAAAACGCCAAATGCATGTACTAGATTTAATTTTTTTAAACCCTTGAAACAACTGTTCTTATTTAACAAGTATGGTTTATTAAAGTCTCATGATTTAAATTATGGAATATTGCTTTAGAAAATATCTCTTCTGGTTTCAGTGTTTTCTTTCGGAGAAACATATGCCCTACTTTTTGCGGCTAGAAGTATTCAGGGCGTTGGTTCAGCGTGCATATGTATAGCAGGTAAATATTTTACAATTATTAAAAGCTTTTGTAAGTCAGATAAGTTCGAGAATTTTTTTAGTACAAAGTATAGGAAAATGGCTTCAAGTATTTTTCATGAATTTCGTAAGTGGTGAAAAACCTCAAGGATTTCATAGAAAGACTTCTTTCAATCTTTAGTCATTACAATAAGTAAATAAATAAAATAAATGAAATAAATAAATTAAATAAATATATATGTTTATATATAAATTAAATAAAATAAATAAGTACATAAATAAAATAAGTAAATAAATAAAATAAACAAAACGATTAAGATTTCCTCTTAAGAGATGGTGAAACATTCCCTTTTACCATAGATATAATTTTCTTCGTCTTATTTACTGGGATTAGATGATTCAGGATAAGGATTAGATGATTAAGAAATAAAATAAATAAATAAAATGAATAAAATAAATAAAATAAATAAAGCAAATAAAATAAATTAAATAAATTAAATAAAACTATTACGATTTCCTCTTTAGAGATGGTGAAACATTCCCTTTTACCATGGATAAAATTTTCTTCGTCTTATTTACCGGAATTAGATGGTTCAGGATGAGGATTAGATGATTAATAAATAAAATAAGTAAATAAATAAATATATAAATAAATAAAATAAATAAAACTATTGCGATTTCCTCTTTAGAGATGGTGAAACATTCCCTTTTACCATAGATACAATTTTCTTCGTCTTATTTACTGGGATTAGATGGTTCAGGATGAGGATTAGATGATTAAGAAATAAAATAAATAAATAAATAAAATGAATAAAATAAATAAAATAAAACTAATACGATTTCGTCTTAAGAGATCGTGAAACATTCACTTTTACCATAGATATTCTTTCGTCTTCGTCTTATTTATTGGGATTAGATGGTTCAGGATGAGGATTAGATGTTTAAGAAATAAAATAAACAAATAAAATGAATAAAATAAGTAAAATAAATAAAATACGATTTCCTCCTAAGAGATGGCGAAACATTCCCTTTTACCACAGATATAATTTTCTTCGTCTTATTTACTGGGATTAGATGGTTCAGGATGAGGATTAGATGTTTAAGAAATAAAATAAATAAATAAAATGAATAAAATAAATAAATAAAATAAATAAAACTATTACGATTTCCTCTTTAGAGATAAAATAAAATAAATAAAACAATTATGATTTCCTCTTAAGAGATGGTGAAACATTCGCTTTTACCATAGATATAATTTTCCTCATCTTATTTACTGGGGTTAGATGGTTGAGGATGAGGATTAGATGGTTAAGGAATAAAGTAAATAAATAAAATAAATAAATAAAATAAATATATAAATAAATAAAATAAGTAAAACTATTACAATTTTCTCTTTAGAGAAGGTGAAATATTTTCTTTTACCATAAATATTATTTTTCTCGTTTTATTTATTGGTGTATGATGGTTAAGGATGGGATTGTGATGATTAGATAATGATTAGATCATAATAAAAATCCAGATATAAAGGTTTATTTTCGAACATTTAGAGGAACAAGCAACTTAGTACTTTAGCGATTTCAACTTATATTTCTTGTAGTGGAATTCGAAATTCAGTATTAGAATCTTAATTGCCTGGCGAGATTGATTCCATTGGAGAAAAGTTCATTCTCTTTACAAGCTTCGTCAGCTTTCCCTACTTTTCCCTACAGCGTTTAATAAACATCAAACAAAGAATAATTTTCCCACAATTTTTTTTATGAAGACACTACTTAACTACTACGTAAATTGTTAAAAATAATTATTAACATTATGAATAATTATTTTAAACATTATTCATAATAATTTTTAACATTATTGATGATAATGCTTAATAATTACTTAAAAAAATTATTAGAAACTTTTTTACATGGAATTATCCATGTGTTAACGGAGTTAATAATTGAGTGCGATATTTTTACGATTCGTTTAAAAAATTCGCGAAACAAAGTGAAATACGCATACGTGAATTTAACTTCAAGGCGTTTCAATTTATGATTAATCTGCTGCCTGTATTATAGTTTGCCAGATAGTGCCAACCCCCAATGTAGGTAATGGTTTACATTATGTCTATGGAAGCCAGTCTTCTTACCCTATATAAAGGGTGTTTAGAAAGTCCTCGACCCATTTTGATGTTTAATGACTCAATAAATAATAAAGATAGATTAAAATTAATAACATAAATGGTTAGATAGACTCAAAAAGTTTCATGGCCCTTGTCAATGAACTTCCACGTGTGCCCCCTTTGTCGCACGGGGAATATCAAGTCGATAGTCAATTTCACGCCAGGTAGCGGCAAATGGTCATTCAAAGAACTACGAACCCCAATGATGTGGTGCACCATCTTGTTGCAAAAAGACATGTGGCTGAAGCTCTTCTAGTTGTGGAAATGCGAAGGTATCATCGAATACGAAGGTATATGTGGGTATCATCGTTCGTAGTTCTTTGAATGAAGGGATTTTATAAACGCCCTGTATATTCCTTGAGGGAAAATTTGATCATGGGATTAAAGTTTTTTTTGCGTACCGTGCTTGTCATTACAAAATGCGTCGTTATTTAAATTTTAGCGAATGTCACCAGGAAAATAAAATTGAACGTGTAATTCACGTAAATTTGAAATAATTAAAAGTCGTTTAAAAAATGCAATTTCTCCAAAATTCCATTCCATTTATCTGATTTTAGGTATGGCCACGATAGCAGACAGGTACCCAGAGGACGAAGAACGAAGTAAAGTGATGGGAATCGCAATGGGTGGAATGGCAGCAGGAGTATTAGGTTTTTATTTCATTTTCAATATCAAACAATGTAGTGTAATCATGTAATGCAATGTAGCTCAATAATAAGAAATATACAATGTATATCTATATTTCAGTGGGTTATCCATTTGGCAGCATTGGGTATGATCTTTTTGATAAACGTGTCCCTCTTCTAGTTGTTTCTTTTCTTCTTCTTTTAAATTCGGGTAAGTCCATTTCATATATGACAACTTGTGACATCATTATGACTTGCCCAATATGATGCAATATTGATTTTTTTTTTAAAATATGTATTTGTACTGTGTGATTCTACACAACGCTTACAAACATGAAGGGATGGTTTGGTACATCATAAGGATTAAGAATTGCATAGCAATCCGTGACTGGTCATACGCCGCTTGGGGTGCTTCCCAATTACTGACCCCCTCTTTATGTTCATTTATTTACCTAAATTATGTTATTCATTATAGTTTCCAGCAATTATTTGTAGTTGAACAGCCGACCCAATTTTATGGGTTTACGACTACTAATGTTCAACTCCGTAGCCTTGTAATTTTGAACCCAATCCAAAAGATAAGGAAACTCCTGGGAGAAAGTATTGGGAGAAAGTTTGCATATGGGGAGGACTTTTTGATGGAGCTAACCCGAATTTGCGTTACATGGAGAGGGAGATCACGAGAACTTCCCCCGGTTAGCCTGACGGCAAGGGGACTCTAACCCATGATCCGTCTGCCACTGAGGATTTTTTACGTCAGCACAGTGGTCGGTGCAAGCCGGATGCAGAATTCGTATCGATTGGGATTCGAACCCGGTTAGCCTCATTGGAAGGCGAACGCTCTTTCCCCTGATCCAGTACTTATTGTCGGCTCTTCCAGTACTTATTGTCTAAAACTGAGTAACAATATGCTCAGAAATAGCTGTTTTACAGTATTTTGCTGATTTGGCTACAACATTTGGCTAGATAGTCACCAAATTAATAAAATGCGATAAAACAGCTAAACCTGAGTTTAATGGAATGCAATTTTCTACAATGATTATAAAAAAAATAATATTAACTCAAAAATCAGATAATTTTGAAGAATTTAAATGCTAACTCTAAAGCTCTGGAGCAACAAGTTCATATTTGAAAAATGACTATAGCACATACGATGTAATTTTCGGTCATAGTATGAAATTCTTCCGTGTCATATCACCCACTCTGTCGTGTTTGTAACCGTTGTGAAAATTCATCTTGCATTGATGAAATTTTTGTGTATTATCTTGATAAGTATTAGTTTCGAAAAAGAACAACAAAAAACCCATGTAATAATACTTTAGTAGTAATCTAGAAAAAGTCCTTATCATCTAAGTTAAATATGTTTACAAATTTATGAAATTTTTTTCAGTTCTTCTATTTGTTGTGCTGCATCCACGGGTTGAGCCTGATGTAAGTTAAGAATTCATTTCCCCCCTCCAAATAGTTATTCTAGTTAGATCATATGAACTACTTCAATTTCATGTTTGATGTTTTAATCCTTTGCGGTAATATTAAGTTTATACTTTCGTCATACCAGTCAGAATCAGTTTTTGTAGAAGAGAAAAGACGAGAATGAACAAGGGAAATAAAAATTACTTTTTTTAAGAGGGAAAAACACTGTTACACTTCGGCATAATTCGTCAAATATTTTTTTGAATTTTATGTGTTTCCAAATCCTATCGACTTAAGAGAACGGTATCGTTCAATATACATTGAGGTGACAAAAGGCATGGGATATGCAATATGCTAATATACAAAAGCAGTAGCATCGCAAAAAAATGAATAGATCGGTAGGGCGTTGGCGGGACCTGTGTTGAAGCAAATCATCTAAGAATGTTCCTGATTCCAGATCCGTTCCAGATCCTAAGAATGTTCCTGATGACAGCAAGATGAGAATCGAACGATGAGATTTCGAACGGGGAATGGTAGTTAGAGCTAGACGAATGGATCATTCCATTTCAGAAATTGTGAAGGACTTCAACATTCCTAGATCTACAATGGACAAGAGTATGCCGAGAAAATCTAATTCTAAAGTGCCTTTACTGCACGTCCAATACATCTCCTGGGTCAACGCCTCCTATAAATAAAAGCTTCCACACGATTTTTCTACAGGTACTTCGATCAGACCACTATGAAGGTAAATCAATTCGTGAAAGAACCATTTAATACAAAATCTATTAAAAATTAGAAAATGGTTGCAAATATATGTCTAAAAATTTGTTTGATTTATGAATATGATTAGTTTGTCTCATTTACTTGTCAACCACTACTGATTCAATTCTCAATTATGTACTATACATTTATCGCAATTACTTTTAAATAAGAATTTGGGATCATGATCACAACTGGATCACTTTTTAAAAGATATGCGCAGACTACTAATTAAAAACTCTTGTGGAGGCTTTCTCGTGTAGGAGGTGATAACTGGGCTTGTGACTGTATTGTCTGAACCCTAGATGACTGATAAACTGTAGTTTGGTCAGATGCGTCATAATTTAAGCTGGTCAGCATGCATTTCAAGTTATATATAAACATGACGGATATATTAGCTATAATCAGAAGTGGGATAGCTTCCCACTTCTGATTATAGCTAATCACTTTTCTTTGAATTATTCGGTGTTTTTTATTGTCCAGTTAGAGCAGGAGTGAGTTAATTCTTGTAAATGCGTGTTTAAATATAGAGTTTCTTAAGATATATGTTTGGATCTTACTTAACACGTTCACGCCGGGGTGACCCACCGGTGGTCACGCTAGATTGTCTCATCTTGGCAGTGCACCGGAGTAAAAACTGGTAACAATAAATTTCATTTTTTAGCTGTTTTCCGGGAATAATAAAAATCCATAACTATCAATTGTTTTTAACGGATGCAGTTTTTATATTGAATTGTTTCTTCACCGTGATAAATTACCTTACAGTGAATTGTTATTGTTGAGAATAGATTAACTCCTCCCGAATATTATCTAATATTGAAANCTTGTGCGCCACCTAGGAACAAAACCTAGAACCCGACACTCGAAATTTTTGCTCTGTTACAATCGTACTCTGTTACAATTGACCCCACTCTCCCCTACTTACTCTAAAGCTCTGGAGCAACAAGTTCGTATTTGGAAAGTGACTATAGCACATACGATGTTGCATGTTTAAGGTCATAGCTTGTAATTCTTCCGTGCCATATCACCCACTCTATCGTGTTTGTAACCGTTGTGAAAACTCACCTTGCATTGATGAAATTTTTGTGTATTATCTTGATAAGTATTAGTTTCGAAAAAGAACAACAAAACCCCCATGTAATAATGCTTTAGTAGTAATCTAGAAAAAGTCCTTATCATCTAAATTAAATATGTTTACAAATTTATAAAATTTTTTTTCAGTTCTTCTTTTTGTTGTGCTGCATCCACGGATTGAGCCTGATGTAAGTTAAGAATTCATTTCCCCCCTCCCTCCAAATAGTTATTCTAGTTAGATCATATGAACTACTTCAATTTCATGTTTACTATTTTAACCCTTTGCGGTAATATTAAGTTTATACTTTCGTCATACCAGTCAGAATCAGTTTTTGTAGAAAGGAAAAGACGAGGATGAACAATGGAAACTGAGATGCCAACTTGAAATATTATTTTCTAGTGGTAGCGAAATTTAAGTTATTTTTAGTTTAGTATTTTTCATTTTGAGTAATTTTTTCACCACTAAATATCAAAAATTTTCAAGTATCATATGAAAATGCTACGTTAAGGAATGGATATACTGGTTACTCTTTTAAAAAGTAAGCGTAACTATCCTTCTTTAGCGAATTTTACTATATAATTCGCTACCACTTTATTAAAACTATTGCACAAAGCGGAGCAGTTGGCATGCCTGGGGAAATTATTCCCGTAAGAATGTTCCTGATTGCAATTATGACAGCAAGATGAGAATTGAACGATGATGAAGCTTTGGAGTGATAGTTAGAGTTAGACGCATGAATCATTCCTTTTCGGAAATTGTGAAGGACTTCAGCATTCCTAGATCTACAATGGACAAGAGTATACCGAGAATACCTAATTTCAGGCATAACCTCCCACCATGGTCAACGTAGGGGCTGGCCTCCTGCTCGTAATGACTGCGACAGCCGATGCCTGCGTAGAATCGTTAGTATTAACAGACAATTAACAGTGCATGAAAATACCTCAAGCATCAACGCAGAACGTGTCCATTAGATTTGGCTGTAATTGAATATACGGCCTAAGACAGACTCGAGTGCCTTTACTGCACGTCCAATACATCTCCTTGGTCAACGCCTCCTATAACTGAAAGCTTCCACACGGTTTTCTTATAGGTAATCCGATCAGACCACTATGAAGGTAAACCAGTTTACAAAAGAGCCACTTAATACAAAATCTATTAAAAATTAGAAAATGGTAGCAAATATACGTCTAAAAATTTGTTTAATTTATGAATATGATTGGTTTGACTTATTTACTTGTCAACCACTACAGATTACACACCAATTATGTATTATACATTTATCACAATTACTTTTAAATAAGAAGTTGGATCACGCGCACAACTGGATCGCTTTTTAAATAATCTGCGCAGACTACTTATTAAAAACCCGTGTGGAGGCTCTCTGATGTAGGACATGATGCCAGGGCTCGTGAATGTATTGGCTGAACCCTAGACGACTGAAAAACTGTAGTTTGGTCAGATGCGTCAGGATTTAAGCTGGTCAGCATGCATTTCAAGTTTTATATAAACATGACGGATATATTAGCTATAATCAGAAGTGGGATAACTTCCCACTTCTGATTAAAGCTAATCACTTTTTTTGAATTATTCGGTGTTTTTTCTTGTCCAGTTAGAGCAGGAGTGAGTTAATTCTTGTAAATACGGGTTTAAATATAGAGTTTCTTAAGATATATGTTTGGATCTTACTGAATGGTGAACTTTGCATCTAGTTATGACAAAATATCAAGGTGGTTTTATTTAATGGCGCACACGCTATCATCCTATTTTTTTTTATTAATCGTTTCAGGTAAAAACAGATGCCTGATCACAATTTACAGTAAATTGAATTTCTAATGAAGAAGCAAAGACATCGATTTTTATTTTCTTGTCTGAGTAGTCAGTAGCTTATTGCTGTAATTTTTGCTTTTGGAGCATTTAACCATTTTAAATTGGCTATGCTTAGTAATTATAATATTTTGTTCCAGGTGTTCAAGTAAAAAGATTTTGACTAGTGCTTAAAAAAGTGGAGTTAACGATTATAAACAAAAATTAATAATGCAAGAGCACAAAGCTATAAAATAATGTGAACTCTGGAATTTTATAATATTTGGAAAAGCATAGAAAAGTATTGATATAAAATGCGGATAACATTTTTCATGTTTCTCCTAGATTTAAAATTTGTTCATAAGACAACTGAAAAAATAAAATCAAAATGATTTCTTTCAATATTTTATTGAACTATGACACAAATTATCCGCTAAAATAATTAAGGTAGGATGGTAGATGGGTTAAAGTAGTTTCCGCAACAAATATTTACAAAAGTAAATTGTAATAATTATCTAATTTAAAAATAGAAAACTTTAGCAATTTTAAAATTCCGTTGACTTTAATAAGCTTTTGTATAAGCTTTTTACAAGGTGTATAAGCAAGGTGTATAAGCTTTTTACAAGGTATATAAGCTTTTAAATAAATTTATTGCATTGCATTTAATCTGCTTTCAATCAAAAATGTTGTAAGAATTTTAATTAATTTTAATTCTTAAAGTAACCTCTGCAACCTGTGTTGATTCTAAACAACACAATTAAAGCAATTTTTAATGAACTGAAATTGCTAATGTAAATAATAGTTTTTTAGAAAAAAAAACTTTATGATTTCTTTCCATTGAAACAGTTTGTTCAATCATGTTTTTTTTATTTACCAGAATTGTCATAAAATATATTTTTTTGCTAATTGGGTTATTTAATTGTAGAGGCTGTTAGTAGGATCAAATATACTGCGTTTGGTATCAGATCCGTACATTCTTTTTGCTTCTGGTGAGTATTATGCATTTAAGCACAGATTTTCATTTATGACGATTTTTCAAGAAATGGCTTTTAAATTAACTACCCTTATTTGCTTAATTTTGCTTAGCATGAATCAGTTTTAACATGACTAGTTTTGAAAAAATTGTTTGGGAAAAACTGCTGGGTATACAGATTACTCTGTATATAAAGTAAGGTAAGGTTAGATAACAAGTAAAGATGAAATATAATTGGGAGACGAGAAGATATGATAAAAAAAAGCACTTTTAATAATCAATAGCAGACAACGAGAATATATTTGCGCTGGAAAATAATTGTCTTTGTTATTGATTATTGGAGTGTTTTTTACAATATATTCTCGTCTCTCAATTATATATATGCATATATATATATAATTGAGAGACGAGTATATATATATATATATAATTGAGAGACGAGTATATATATATACTCGTCTAACAATAAATACAGGGTCTTTATAATTAAAGTTCCACTTTGAAATGGCTATAAAAATAAAACTACCCGACCAAATGTCATCAAACTTGATAAATGTCTATAAGAGGTCATGGGATTTTAGTTCCCACAAAAAAAAAAAAAAANAAAAAAAAAGTTCAAAAATTCACCACTAGCGGAGAATGGCGCTGTATGCAATAGTGTTAAACAAGTATGAAATATGCAAATTTGTTTTACACGTCATGTGACTTTGCAGTTATAAAAGTGAGGCGCCTTGTCTGAGCTGTCAGTGTTCTGAGTCGACAATGTCTGTTACCATGCAAGACCGTGCTTTGCTCGTGAAATGTTCGTGAAATGTCGCATTCATAGTTACATTTCACGAGCTCAAATGGCGGATGCCACATTGAGCATGCTTTGTAGCAACCATAAAAGTGCTTGCAACTGATGTTTCCTCTGTTATTTTGTTTAACCTTATTGCATGCAGCGCCATTCACCGCTGGTGGTAAATTTTTGAACTTTTTATTTATTTATTTATTTATTTATTTTCAACACGTACAAATGAGGTTTTAACCCGTGATATCCGACAAAAAAGTTCTCCAAAGGGGCTAATCATTAGTACCCTCCTCTGAGTAAGTGGTAAAAAATTTCAAGTTGGGTTTTGAGGGGTAAAGCGTTTTCATCATCGGTGCTTTATAAACAGTATCTTAGGGGTGTGGGTGACCGTGATTTACCCTTAAGTCTCTGCCGTAATAAAATGACGAGTTTTAGCAAATAATTTGTTGTTTTTATAGCCGCTGTGATTTTATAACTGTTATTCATTACGGTTAGGTTAAGTTTTAGCTGTCTTAATCTGGGACCTTAATCCAAACCATGAAACTTTTGCAAAATGCCAGTAGTAAAAAAAGGCAATAAAAATGAAAAGCATTTATCATCAAAATTTTAATTATGTAAAAATTTACTCCTGCTCTCTGTTTTCTTGGCCAATTAAATATGCAAAAATCGGGAATGATAAACTTATTTTAATCTAAATCTCGCCGAATTGGTAAGTTTAACATTTTAAATATTTAAACTATTTGCTAATTCTGAAGCCCAGACGTTTTTTTAAAGCGAAGAAAGTGCAGATAACTGGAAATAATCTTAGCTTCGAGTTTACGGTAACTAAACTGTGTTCTTCCCTAGCTTAAGAGGTTTAAAATACCTATGGTCATAAAGATTTTCGGATCTTTCTCCATATGATTTCTTTTTATAGGGTTATATCAAGGATATTAAAAAAAGATAAAAAAAATTCATACGATAAATGCCATTGCGAAACTAAACAATATGTGAAATGAACTTATTCATAAATGATTTTCTCATAATAAAAAAGTTCCACAGCTTTAAAAAAAATTAAAAAAGAACTAAAATGCAATTTAATAGGTAAATAAAAACCTTGCAATGTCTTTCTTTAATTTCCTGTTTTATTTTCAGTAACATGTGTAATTCTTTTGGAAAAAAAATCTATTTTAAATCTGTTTCATTTGTACTAATAACCTTTTTACATTAGGAGCAATTTGTGTATCCACCTTTAGTATTGCTGTTTTAGAACCTTGTTTACCCATATGGTTAATGGAATCAATGTCCCCTCCCAGGTGGCAATTAGGCAAGTTAATTTTCTTATAACTGGATACCTGCAAGCGACGTCATCAGTGGTAAATCATGCATCCGTTTATGCACGATTCAGAGCACAATCAGTTTCGGCATACGCGTGTGACGTCTCTCACAAGTATTCAATTAAATATTATCCAAAAATTTGTTCAGTGTAATAATAAATGAAACCTAATAGCACAATATTTACCAGCCAAAAACCACGTGATTAAACCCAAACATGTGATGTGAATCACTCGGTTGGGCCTGATCACGCATTCTTCTTTTCGAGTTGGAAGTACGCAGTTAATGTTACGAATATAAATAATTTCGAAATATTTTATAACCGTCGTTGAACAGCCGAACCAATTCTTGGGTTTACGACTACTAATGTTCAACTCCGTAGCCTTGTAATTTCGAACCCTATCAAGAAGACAAGGGAACTCCTGGATTGGGAGAAATTTGCTTTTGTGGAGGACTTTCTGGTGGAACTAATCCGCATTTGCGTTACATGGAGAGGAAGACCACGAGAACCTCCCACGTTTAGCGAGACGGCAAGGGAACTCTTAAAGCCATATCAAACGTGCAGAAATTCACCCAACACAGCACACAACGCAACAGCAAGATAAACTTTTCATCCAACATTCAGTCGGAAAAAGTTGTTCTAGGGTTGCCAAAGTTCATGAAAATGTTTATCGTAAACGCGCCGATACCTTCCTTCTATCCCGGCAATTTAGCGCCCATACAATCGATCTATTATACAGTCGAAAAAACTATTTCCTAACTATAACTTAAAATATATTTCCTAACTATATTTCAAATAAGAGGAATCAATAATAAAAATTCCGTAAATGATATAACTTCCACAGAAAAACCATACTATTAAAGCATATTAAAAACAATCACTGTTTACAGAAAATTTTAGTGATAACACATTATTTAATATAAAATTTATAACAGNATTTCAAAATATAATTAGCATAATATTATATGATTATACAAAAATTGGTTCCGCGTGATAATAAATCAAACCTAATAGCTCAATATTAACCCGCCAAGCACAACCGCGTGGCTAAGCCCAAACATGTGATATAAATCACATCGCTGAAGAAAACTTCGATGAATATCAAGCCTGTTTTCACGTAGATTCTCAACCATGCCATCAGCCGAGGGATGCAGCGGGATTTTTCGATCTTCTGTACTAGTTTTAGAATCCCTTTATTGTTAACACTCAGTTTCCCATCCATATAATACACTAGAGAATATTTTTTGCCAGTTACATGAGATTTTTAAATGGAATTGATATTTTAGCGTTGCTGAATTCAACTTTGCAGTCGCTTTCTCTCTACAAGTTGCAGTTTATAAGCAATTTAATAATATATTCCTAACCAGAATTTCTTAAATTTACATGAGTGAATACTGATTATTCTGACTTTTCTGCTACGTAGGGAGCAGTAGAGCGAAAAAACATTTTAGTTTATGATGGTATATGTTAAGGGCATAATTTTTTTAGCCCTGAGTTATGTTTTCGCATAAGCAAACAAGCATATACGTATGCATATAAACACATATGTTTCTTTTATAATCTTGTACATTAAAAAAAAAAATAAATAAAAAAATAAGTAAATAAATAAACAAGTAAACCAAATTAAAAATATTTAAAAAAGTAAACGAGCTAATTTCAGCTTTGAAATCCCATCACTCGAATTAACCGTAGGTTGAAGTACTTGTCCATACTTGTCATCAACGTAGGATGACGTACTTGTATTAATGTAACAAAAAATTTTTGCCCTAGAAAACTAAACTGAATGAAACTGAAAAATATTTAAAGGACTCATTCCATTTTTAGGTACGGTCTTCATTCCCGATAGTCTTGGATACCTAATAGGAACACATTTATTTGGTTCAATAGCCTATAAATTCGGAAGGTAAGATTTTTGCATAAATTTTCTTTCCAGAATACATTGTTAAATTTAAATGTAAGTACTTGTAAATAAAACAAAAATATCTTACAGATGGCAAACGACTATGATATCTTTTCTTATAATTGGAATATAAATGCTGCTATTATATATTATATAAAAACTATAATACTGCTATTACATTTCAAAATATAATTAGCATAATATTATATGATTATACAAAAATTGGTTCCGCGTGATAATAAATCAAACCTTATAGCTCAATATTATTTATATAGTATAATAAATACTATATAAATAGTTATAAATGAAACAAAAATATGTTACGGATGGCTGAATACTATAATATTTTTACTTATTATTAGAATTTTCACCTTATACTACTGTAATAATATATAATACCTATAATACTACCATAAATTTTACTATAATATATTATATAAGTATTATAATATTGTAAAAACTATATAAATACTTAAAGAGAAATATAACAGAAATATTTTACAGAGTTCTGACTATTATGATCTCATTACTTATTATCGGAATTCACACCTTACACTAATATAATATAATATATAATTATAATACTACTATATTATAAAATAACTATAATACAACTGTTATATAAGTACTGCTATAAATACTACATAAATGAAAATATTTTACTAATGGCTGACAACAATGATATCTTTACTTATTATTGGAATTTGCCTCTTATACTTCTATAATATAGTATATAATACTATTAACTACTAATAACACGTTAAGCACCGCGTCAGCCATCAGTGGCTGACACGGGACTTTCCATTTAGACCGCGTCAACCACCGGTGGCTGACACTGAAATTACATTTAGGCCGCGTCAGCCACCGGTGGCTGATATTGAAATTACATTTAGGCAGCGTCAGCCACCGGTGGCTGACACTAAAATTAGATTTAGGCCACGTCAGCTACCGGTGGCTGACATTGAAATTACATTTAGGCCATGTCAGCCCCCGGTGGCTGACACTGAAATTACAGTTAGGTCGCGTCAACCATCGGTGACTGACACTGAATTTACATTTAGACCGCGTCAACCACCGGTGGCTGACACTGACCTTTCACATAGGTCGCGAAAAACAGCTGGCTGACAGCGTATAACATTGACTCTCATGGTATGGAGCTATAAAATTGACTCTTTTATGGAATTGCAGAAAATTTATTCAATTATTGTGATTCTTTGTTTAATAAATTCGATTAAGTAGATTTTTATCCACCACTATTTTTAAACAATTCGTAGTCTTATAAAATTCGCCCCTTACAGAGATGCCAACTGCTCTGGACACGCCAAAAATAATTAAAACAACGGTAAATAACTACAAAGTAAATTTTTCAAATATTTGACTAGTTTTGCTTGTTTTCTAAAAGACACAGCATGACATAAGACCATAAGTACTATAAAGTGGTGAATTATATAGGCCTACGAATTATTTAGAAATAGTGGTGGATAAAAATCTACTAAATTGAATTTATTAAACCAAGAATCAGAATTGATAAACTACCACTTTAAAATATATATTTGCTGTCCGGAGCAAGTTGGCATCTCTGCCCTTAATTAAAGTTTGGCCAGACGGACAAACCATGTAAAATTAGCGTGGTGTTCAACGTGTTATAATACTGCTGAAATATATTATATAATAACTATAATACTAATATTATATAAATAATAAATAAATACTTATAAAGGAAACAAAAATGTTTTACAGATGGCTGACAACTATGATATCTTTACTTATTATTGGAATTTGCACCTTATCCGTGAGTGACATTTTATCAAATATTGGCTTGTGTTGAACCCAAATACGTGTGTTCTAGATTAGAGTGGCGATTTTTAAAAATTTATAGCCCCCAAAACAGTTACTTTTATGGGAAAAAAAAAACACTTTCTTGCAGTCGATTAATGTGACAAGATTCAAATATTTTTTCAAACTAAAAATCTCTTCACAGATGGCGCTATAAGTAGCAAACCCGTATATCAAAGAAAAATTATTCAAAATCAAATCATAAGTTTTCTAAATGAATCAATTTTTAAAGGAATGAATCTTCAGAAACAGATTTTCAATGAATAAATTCTTAAGATATCAAACAATTGAGATATCACAATCATTCGTAGTAATCTAAGATTTTTTTTTACTGATTAAAACGAATACGGGAAAAATATAGAAGAAAATATCAGTGCCATCTGTCGGAAACATTTATTTCTAAAATCAAGGTTTCTGGAAGAAGAAATTTATGTCTTTTCACGTGAATTTAATGCAAGAAAATTGGTTTGAGCCCTAACACTTTACCCGTTATAAATTTTTGAAAACCGCTGGTCTAATTTAGTGGCTAAGTTAGGGTAATCATTGTGTTTACTCTAATTTATGGGTCTTTTCTTTGTATCAATTTTTTTCTTCATTATTCTGTAATTAATGATGGTATGTGTTAACAGATTTTGTATTTCATTTCTTTTTGTTAAATACAGAAGTTGGGCAGAAGTTTAGAGTTAGAATAGAAAAACTTCTATTATACCTGTAAAATAAATTTCTCTCTTTTTTAAATTTTTTTTTTTAAATTTTAAAATTTTTTTTAAGGCACTGCAATTGTCGTCAGTGTGCAGCTTCAGAAACGTTTTTCTGCACTCTCAAAACGACAATTTTAGAACAAAAAAATATAGAAAATATCAGCTCATTTAAAGAGTAATGTTCAAATAAAACATTCTGAATTGAAAAATTCGTAAAAACAGTAGTACTTCTTCTTAAATCTTATTAAAAATGAAAGTGCTTTAAAAAAAAATTCAAATAGTTTTTGAATGATTAAATTCTAAGCATTCCTTTCGGATTTTTTTCCCGATTAAATTCATTATTATAATTTCAAAAGGATGATAAGATTCTTACTTTTTCGGAAGATAATATAGCCTTCTACCTCATAAAAAACCTTTTCATTATAATTTTTGTTAGAAGACTCGATATTGATATTATGTTAATTGTAAACAAATGTTTAACTTGTCGACCTAACGTTTAACTTATTGATACAACGTGACCTTATGTTAATCCCATGTCTATTGGAGAGAGAAAACAACTCATTTTATTTCCACCTATACGTTTACACGTTTTGAAAATAAAATAAAATAAAAGTTGCAATCGCCTTATTGCGATCACTGGTCACCTATTGGTCAAGCGCTTTTTCTTTCTGGATTGACTCCGTTAAACGCATTTCAAATCATGGGTTGCAAAAACTGTCTCAATTGATGTTTGTCGTCGGATTGATTTTCATATCCTGCCTACGTACGTGTTTCATGACGTCACAAAATACTTTTTCCTTCCTCAGCATTCATATTTATAATATTAAATTTACCGTCAAGACAGTAATTATACGTTAATAATTAAAAGAATATAAAAATACTAGTGGGCTGCGCCCCCTGCTCGCTGACGCTCGCCAACCCCGGAAAATTGCTACGCAATCTTATATGGTTTGCTTCGCAAACCAAGCTCGCTTCGCTCGCTACTAACTTAGATACATTGCAAATTCACAAAATTCTAAGAATTCAAAACAATAATTTAAATCCATATAACAACTTCTTTTTTTAAAAAAAAATTACATCTTTTTAGTAAATACTAAGTCATTAAAATAAATTTGAATTCAAATAAATGACATGTAATTCGTTAAACCTATTAGAAATGTGCTATAGTATAAAATCTTAAGATAAAATTTCTAAAACTGATATCTCTTTAAAAAGGTTAAAATTTTGGCTATAATTAAGTCTATTAAAAATTGAAATAAG